TGACCGAACACCACCATGTCAACTAGACCATGGCAGTAAGTGCCATATCCAGCCTTTCATGATACAGTATATACTAAATATATATATATATATACAAGGGACAGTGACTCCAGCACCTCCTGGGGAGCCCATTCCAGTGTCTAATCACCCCTTCTGTGAAGAATTTTTCCTGGTGTCCAACCTATACCTCCCATGGCAAACCTTGAGGCCACTACCTCTTGTCTGGCTGTTTGTTGCCTTGGAGAAAAGACCAACCCCAACCTGGCTACAGCCTCCTTCCACATGGTTGTAGACAGTAATAAGGTCTCCCCTGAGCCTCCTCCAGGATAAACAGTGCCAGCTCCCCCAGCTGCTCCCTATAGGACAAGTATTCCAGATCCTTCACCAGCTCCATTTCCCTTCTCTGGTCTCACTCCAGCACCTTCAGTGAAATTGACATCTATGTGGAAAATTAAAGACTGCTGGAAATAACAGTTCCTTATCATATCATGCTTTTGTGTCCAATAGTATATTTGTAGTGGTCTCAATAGTCAATCAGAAGAAGAACTTTAAAAATGAGGTCTAGCAACTATAATATTTTAATGTTTTAAGCAGAATAAAGGTCTTTATACAAACAAAACTGATTTCAAAAAAGCTAAAATTTATCAGAACGTGCATTTGGCAGTCTTATGCAGCCAGTTTGTTTGAGCTAGGAATGAAGAGAACAAGTTACATGGGTGTATGAAATTAGAGGGCTTTGAAGATAGAACATTAGCTCAGTTAGCACAGGGCCTTGGGGTACATACACAGGCTCTCTTGAATCTCTCAGTACACAAGGCACTCCATGTAGATTTTTGGTTTTTTCAAACTTTCGCTCTTGCTTATGATTTTAAGCAGCTCAGCCATGTCAAGGTAACTGTCGAAATCAATGGGTATTCAATAACGGTGTGTGGTATATTTTCTCTCTGTCATACTGCTTTTCTGTTCTGTGATCTTAGGTCAGGTTTATGCCGACAGTTAAATAAACTGTCACTGACCCACGGAGGGACACCTATCCTCCAAATTCCAGTCTCAGCGCAGCTGAAGGACGCCTCTTCTAATGTCAGGCTTTCGTGGCGAAAAGCGTTTCCCACCGCGTACCAAGCTCTCCCCGTTCCGCCCTCGGTGCCTCCCCGCCCTCCCCAGGCCCTCCCCTCAGCCGCGCTCTCGCGATACCGGGGGCGCGGCCGTGCCCGGGGCGGGGCGGGAGCGCCCGGCGGTACCGGTGGCGTTCGGGGGCGGTGCGGCGCCTCCACCCGCCCCCAACGACTCCCGCCGCCGGCCGGGCTCTGCCGGGCGCACCGAGCGGCTCCCGGGGCGCGCAGGGGGAGCGCCGTTCCGCCCTGCGTGCCGGCTCCTCGGCGCCGGCCTCCTCTCGGCCGCCGCACTGCTCCAGGGCCCGCCCCGGGGAGGGGCTTTCCCGCGGCGCCCCGGCCGCGCTGCGCTGCCGCACGTCCGTGAGTCCCCGCTGCTCTTCCTCGCCGTAGCTGCGGCCTTGCCGGAGCCGGAGCCCCGCGGCAGGTCGGAGGTGAGCCGAGCCCCAGCCCCTGGCCAGCGGGGCGACGCCGGCCCGACGCGGCCACCCGGCGGGAGCGGCCCGCTTGCCCCGGAGCCGCCGCCGCCGCCCCCGGCGGGCGTCCCGCCCGCGGAGAGGCGGGGGCGAACCGGGGTGGGCAGAACTCCTCGTTCGTGGCTCTGTCCAAGGTCTCTTGGAATCGCTTCTCCTCCTGAGCGCTGTGCCAGCGTCACGACGCTTTCGTTCTTTCCTAGATAACTTTAATTATTTTCTGGTCAGATGTGGAGCTCCTCCTGTGGCTCCGCTCGGCTTTTTCATCACTACTTCGATGGACAAGTGACAGAGTCAGCTCCCTCCTACGGTCGAGACAAAAGACTGGTTTTTTCCTGTGGTTGTTGAGGCAGTTCTGTCAGTCTGGCAGGTTCAGCACATGCTGCACCTCGTTCTTTTATGCTGTCTTTGCAGAATTGTGACCTTGCAGTAGAGAGGCCTCTGGGACAGAAAACGTCAAACTACAGAAACAGTTGGGTATTTTTTTCTAATTTTTTCTGCCCTGGATCCGTTCAGTTGTAGAACTTCTAACATTTAAGTGACATCTCAGTGGAAGTAATGAAGTTTGTTTTGGTGCTAGCAGGGTACAAAAGGAGTTACAGGCAGCTTTCTGGTTTCAGATAATTGTAGTCCTTATGGAAGGAATTAGGGGATGAGAACCTTCCTCTTAAACGAAGTTGTTCAGGCTTGTGGCTCCTGTGATTTGCATGTCAAATTCAGTCAGCTGCATGCTTTGGAAGCCTTCAGCAAGGTTTGGAAGTTGCTGCTTTGCACACAGAGACTTAGTGCAGCTGTTCAAAGGGCTGGAGTGTGGCAGGCTGCTCAGGGTGCTTGACTGGGAGCGTGCAGCAAGGAGGGAGGGAATAGCCTGTAAGAGCTTTGATCTTGCAGCAGTCCTTTCCATTTTCCCCTTCTCCTGGTACCTTCAGCTTTATCTTTTGCACCCAAGTGCTGTAAAGAGCTGAGCATCTATACTGTAACAAAACCTTCCTGAAAGTAAATGCATTTTTTTCACGGAAGGTGTGCCAAATTTGGTTCTAGAAACAAGCCATACATCAAGATCATGAATTAATGTATTACCTCATTAGATAATTTATTTCTAACTCCATCCCAATGCAAGCTGGAATGCCTACTACTTCAAGTCTACATCCAGATTTGCACCTTTACTGTCTTTTGAAGTTGAGAGGATGAGGATGGAGAACAAATAGGATGCCTTAAGCACCTCATATAAAGTTAAGCATCTTCAAGCATGCAAAAGCCTTCCTCTCCTTAATTGTTTGTTTGTTTTTTTAAAGTGAAGCTAAAATCATTATTGTGTTTCATCCCTCCTGGGTATCTGTCAAGTTTGGCCTGCATGCAGGTAGAATGAAACTAAAGTCTCTATGTCAGTTCTGTTGAAAGAATACTGGCTTGATTAATTTCTGTTTAACTTTTGAAAATGTAAGTCATTTTATTCTGACCAAGTTCTGAATGTTAACATGGTTTCTGTGACTATTAAAAAATACAAGTTAATGAACACAAAAGTTAAATTTGTATGGACTAGAGAGGATTTTTAAGATTTTTTTTATTATCAAATTAAAAAAATAGATTACTTCCAAGAAGGGAATATACTAAAATCTGAATTTTGCTTTATATTCATAAGGTAGAACACGGACACAGGAAGAATCCAAATACAACTGAAGACCATGGCAACACACTGGAGAAGAATCCTGACAGTATTTGTGACAGCTCAAGTACTATTTGTGTTAAGTGCCTTTGAAGAAGAGGACGTACCAGAGGAATGGATTCTTCTTCATGTTGTCCAAGGTCAGATTGGAGCAGGAAACTACAGCTATTTGAGACTAAATCACGAGGGAAAGATTGTTCTTCAGATGCAGAGTTTAAAAGGTGACGCAGACTTGTACGTGTCAGATGTGACACTGCACCCCAGCTTTGACGAGTACGAGTTACAGTCTGTGACTTGTGGCCAGGACATCGTCCACGTGCCTGCACACTTCCGCCGCCCTGTGGGAATAGGGATTTACGGGCACCCCTCTCACCTGGAGAGCGAGTTTGAAATGAAGGTGTACTACGATCGAACAGTCGTACAGTACCCGTTTGGTGAGGCTTCTTACAACCCTGAGGAGATGGAGGCAAACCAGAAATACTCACAGTCTACAGAAGATGAATCTCAGGATGAGGAGTCTGTTTTCTGGACTATACTTATTGGAATCTTGAAATTAATACTTGAAATCCTTTTTTAAATTGATACACACTGGACTTAAGTCACACTTCATCCTGTGAAATTGGTATGAATGACTTGCTGTTATACTTAATACTCACTATGTTTCCTGAAGAGATATTTAGGTTACATTTCCAAAACCAGAAAGGAAGTGGGGAGAAAAAGCCATATTTAATTTTATATTGTAAATCCTCCCCAATATGTAAAATGAGCAGCCAGGACAGTATTTGCAGTGCTCTTCGGAGATCAGGGCTTAAAAATGAATGTATAGTTGGGATCTTGTTAAATTCACTTAAAATAGGTGCTTAGGAAAATCAATTCCAATTCAGTATTTTCTATTGTTTTTTATAAAGAAAAATGAATAAACTACTGCACTTCAGTCCCCCTCTCAATTTAGAGCATATTTAAAAATAAAACCTGCTTCTTTTCTGAGCAAGCATCTCTAGTAAAACTGATCAGCAACGTGTTTGAGTGTATTCATGAAGTTGAGGAGCTTAGGGTGAAAGAAGGAGAAAACAATCAATCACCCAAGGGAATAGATGGTCTGTATTCTGACTGCGTGTGCTCTACATCACATCAGCCATCTGTCAAACAGAGGTTGGTCCAGTCACTCATCACCACTACAAATTCATGACCTGAATCAAGTGCATGTTGCTTCTTTGCTATTACTGCAGGGAGAGGGAGCCTTCAGCTGTTGTTACTTGTCAATATGACATTTTCGTCTCATTAAAAACAACACAGCATACAGGTATCTCAAACTTGAGAGGTGCTTTCTTACACTTCCCTTGATAGCTTTTTGTGACTGATTTTTTTTCCAAGCACATATTTATGAATAAGTCATTAGCTTGCACAGAAAATTTCTGCTGAAAGATTTTTGCAGTATGTTGTTAAGAAGGTCATCTCATGCCTACTCTTCCATAGAAGTTACTTTTACCAGGAATACTTTTTGCTTTGGTTGAGTATTTCAGAATAACCAGTTGCTATGCAAACAAAGTACATTAAATTGCTCTGTAATTTTCTTTTCACAGGGCTTACTGATAAGTGCACTGAAATAAACAAGTATGTTGCTATAATTTTATACAAATGCATGTATAATTTAAATTTCATTACTGAAAAACTTCTCCTTTTTGAGTGGTAATTTGGCTTGCCTCTCTCAACACCTGACAGCACAGTAGTGACTTGTATCACAAAAAATCACTATATAGACAAAGTTTATTTAGTAAAAAGAAAAAAAAAGTGGTATTGCTCCTCTTATAGAGTGGTTGATTAAATAGCACCAGAGTATCACTTTAATTTGTGCAGTTAAGTTTTGGACAGCAAGTTTTTAGGGCTTTCTTAGCCCTCCTTGCTGTTTTTCCCCCTTCTTCCTCCTCTTCTGGGTACAGGAGGCTCTTTCTGACAACAATCACAAATCCAGCGACCTAAGAAAAGAAAGTTATCAATTATTGGGAAACTAAGTTTGTTACTCTCTTACCGATTTAGGCAGCCCTTCACCATTCTGTTAGGTGCCTATCTATTTGCAGTATTTCCTTTAATGCGAACAACAAATGCTTTTAAAATTAAGCGTCCTTTCTATAAGGCAGCATACACAATTCACACTCCTTTGCACACTCATTATGTGTAACCACTGGCTACACCAATCTTCATGGACCTCAAGAAGTGCCAGGACTCCAAGGAGGTGGCTATTAGGTAAGAGTTTTACAAACAGTGCTCGAGTTTGCCAGTCATATTTCCAGGTGAATGACTACAGTTCAAGGTTGTGAAGTTACTCAGAGCAGAAATCAATGGCAGCTGGGGAAGCATTTAACTTTTTATTACAACAGCTGGAATCAATGGCTGCTTTGGTAATTTTGTAGTTTTGTAGACATATAATCTATTTTGATTATATTCTTAGGTCAGCCTCAAAATGAAATCAGCCACAGAACCTGTACAATAGACAACTAGCTCCAGTGCTTCCCAAAATGGGGCAGTACAGTGTTTTAAGTACTGTCCAGGGAATACTGTCACTGCCACTGAATACATATTCATGAACTTACCATGGACGTAGAACTATATGTAAAGCAACAGTACCACCTGTATTTTCCTTCTACTGCCCTGAGTTGGCCACATGATGTGAGTGACTTGGCAATTTAAAGCTACTGGCTTGCCTGCCTACCTATGGAGGTAGTTCTGTTGCAGTTTTGATGTTTAAGAATTAAAAAGGGAATGAAAGGGTTTAAAGAGATATTTACAAATATTAAATTGAGATAACTATTTCATTTAGAAGCTAAAACAGCACAATTAATGTGAAAGCTATGCTCTAGCAATATGCAGCAATACAGTTTCTTTTACAGGTTTCTTCAATGAAAAGAGGTAATTCTTGTCAGTATTCTGTTGAAATGGAAAAAAAACATAGTTCTGAGCGAGCCTGTTTGGGTTATGCTGTAAAAGCCAATTATATTTCCTGCACAGGAAATGCGAGGTTTAACTGTGCACAACCAAATATACAGAAATAAAGCTTAGTAAAAAAATCAAGTCCTATAGTGTGAATGTTTTCCTATACTGTTTCTTACTCTTACTCTTGACACTTGTTTTAAACTATTCTTTCAAAAGAATATGTATTAATTCATTAGTTCATGTATTAATTCTGAGAATGAGCCCAGGACTCGAGAGGAAGAGGGAAGGGAACAAGTAACTCTTACTTTATTACCTGAAGGGATAGCATCAAGCCCCACACAAAAAGTGTGATAACCACGGTCACATACATCACAGAACATCATTTCTTCTTCATGGTGAGGCTGCCCACATATAATGCACGTTTTACACTCCATACATTGCCAAGGGTAAGTCTTAATCATAGCAACAAGCTCCGGGGTCATATCAAGGCAAGAAGGGTGGCCTAGATTAAAACCAGCATTATTATTTTTATGCCTGAAATGAAATTTAAAATTAGTTAGACTGTTTGCTTTTACCAAACATGAAGCTTAGGTCACCTCCTGGTGAGATCCCACAGTGTGAGCACAAAGAACATGAAAGAGAGATGGGGTCATAACAAAGGACAGAAAAGGCAACTGAACTCCTGCTACACATGGAGTACACTAAATATGTCCACAAACAGATCTGGATCCTTAGGAATCGACTTAGTGGATGTAGATACTCACCACTGTTGTCACACTGGGAGCAATGTATAAGAGCTTCAGGTTTTCCTTTCTTGTTGGACTCCTTACCCTTCAGACAAATTCCACATATAGCATTTGGAATGACCTTTGGCTGGAAGGGTAGAAGAGGGCTATAAATTCATTCCAGAAGAATTTACAGATTCAACAGGAAATGTCATCTATCTCCTTAACTATTAAAATCTATAAACTATCTGTCAGGATGTGTGAACCCTGAAACACGTGACAATTACTGACAAGCAGCAGCACTGAAAAAAAAAACATAGATTAAACTATATAAAATTTTCCATTTGTTATACATAGTGAGTTTTATGTAAATCCAATTGGATCAAGCATGTACTTGCCTCTTCCTATTAATTCATCAGCTAACATTCTCCTTATGGTAAACTAAATGTGACACAGGGTGAAAAATTTCAGGAAGATTCTTCCAATATAGAATACTCTTTATGAACTTCTGTGTGGATTTTCTGTATATGAAGGAAATATATAGGGGTTTTTTTGCATTACATTTGTCCCTACATATCGAAAATTAATTATAAAAACAATAAACTTGATTTTTTTCCTATCTGCAGTTTCAAATTATATGGTTAGCTATGCTGTACAGGGCTGTATTCCTTTTATCATTCCTTCTTGTATCCAGTCATAATAATTCAAGAAACAAAAGCCTTGCATTTGACTAGAGATTTTTACATTTATAATTTTTCTAAGTTATCATCCAGAGTGTGTCTGGGTCCATGAGATCCGTTTAAAGGGTAAGAGAAATAGTAGGCTGTTAACATGTGAAACATCTGCCTAGGTATTCTGTACATCAACTTCCTAGATACAACCAGAGTGTCATCCTGATGAGGCCTTAGGAAGAATTAAAGCATTCTGAATTTCAGAAACACGGCAGTAGTTACATTGTTGAGCTTTGACTGCTGCATAATGAACTCAGTGAGAAATGTAGTCTACAATTAATGTAGTACTCACTGATGTTAAACTGACTAGCACCAGTTTTTAAAAACAATGTTGCTGCAAAGACCCAACTAGCAGAGGGAGCTAAAGGCTCTAAACAGCTTGTCAGTAAGAAGACTCCCAGTCAACTACCAATCACTCGTGGGGAGAAGAATATGGTTTAATTTTAAAACAAATTTAAAAAGTGAAAACACAATAAATAAATAAAAAAAGTTACAAAGATCTTTTGCAATACAACTTATCTTTAAGTGTGTTTATTTCCCCAGCCAGTTTTTGACAGCACCTAGCAAGGTAATTAGTATCTTTACTAATTTCTAAAATCAGGATGCATTGCTTTAAGTTTTCTGAAGTTTTCAAAGTACTTTTCATGTCAAAACATGGCTACAGCCTGCATCAAATTGTTCAGTCTAAGGAGTTTTATTCAAGAAAGCAAAATACCACACCAAATGTTTATAGGTAACTTCCTTCAAAAGATGACAGAGGCATTCATAGACATTTTTTTGCTTATTTATTTTAAAAAAGCAAAGTCAACCTGTTTTATACATAAATATAATAATAAACAGTAAAAGAAGTCTAACACACAAACATCTCTACAAAATAATAAATATAATGGAAGGAAAACCACGCATAAACTCTTTTACTGTTAACTATACTACGTGTCCTACATGTATACCTTTATACCCTGCTCCTCCCAACAAAAGTGGCACATGCTTAAACCTTGTCAGTGTGGCAGCATTTACCCTTCCATTGTTTAGGCTATTTTAAAATTGTATTGTAATATAAGAAACCAAGCCTTTCCAGAATAGCAAGCAAACTTTTCTAATCAGACTTCTGGCTTGTTACAGATTTGTATTTTACTGCCTTTAATATACATCAGCACACTTCCCAATACTCCAGCCAAAGCGAGCTGCTTTTTGGACACATCCAAGTGTTACAGGTGTGTGCAGTTCACATTCTGATACACATAACTCTCAAGGTAGACATTGCTACAGATGCATTTATTAACAATGCTTCCATCTAGACTTAGTTCACTAACCTGTATTCATTAGAAACTGTGCATATTAAGGGGGGGTGAGAATCACAGCCTTTTAAGAATGAAGTTCCAACAGTATGGAAGTATTTTTACAGAAACAACAAAAATTTTAAAAAATCAAGACTATTCACATTTTAATCCAGTTCCATTCTATCACCATAAATGGCTTTTAGAAATGCTATTAAAAAATCTGTCAATTCCAAAGGGGAAGTCACAATATCCCATCTCATTAGGAGTAAATTTTGCTTTCAATATCCCCATCTTACTGGGATAAGATATGAGAGAAAATGAATGCAGGGTCAAAATGATGACTGTGATGTGTAGGTTTTCACTTCCATGCTGCTGTGCTGCAGCTCTTAAAGTAAGCTTTCCAACTACACCCTTTTTGTAACATCCTATTCTGAATGCGAAGCATTACATTTTCATATACAGTGACCCAAAACAGAAGTGTTGCAACATAAAGATACTCAATACATTTCAGTTTTATGTGCAAAAAAATCTTTTGTACTTTTAACAGTACCCTGTGTGTGCAATTGTAGCAGTCAGTCCTGCAGCAACAGACTCACTACTTGTAACATGACAAAATGTAAAACACATGCTAATCGTTCTTTGTTAAAGAACTGACAATAAAAAAGACTCCATATAAAATACAGTATTTCTATTACTTGAAAATAACTCAGTGGAAATGTATGGAATCCTGTAATACTCATAACGTGGCTATACATATATACGCTGATGCCATAGCAATTATCCCTCAATTTTAACTACATGTAACCAAAAGATTAGTGTCCTACAAAAATAATCCAATATTAGAGAACAATATAGAACAAAAGTATTATAAACATTTCACAGGGAAAACATTTTGAGTCAGTTAAGCCTTCGGCTCAAAGTGCCTTAACATGCAGGCACATATGGTAGGTATATTGTTATCTGATGTTTTCATAGACTCACAAACAAGAATCATTCTGTCTTGTTAAAACAGCTCATGTAATTTGTCTTATTGCAGTATTTCAAACGTTCCCACAAACAAGAAAGCCAATCCTCTCACCCTCCTAACACATCACCACCACCCCTGACTTAACAACAGGTTGATGCAGGCAATGTATGCTGACATTGTAAAGATGAGGCACTGTAACTAAGACCTTGTTACTGACAGAATCACAGTAAGCAATTGCTGTGGGAATCCATTCTCAAAATGCAGTGCTGTATACTACTACCGCTATTCTACAATTTTAAGTTCAAACCAAAGCTCTGCTCCACTAGTTCTCTCTCTATGCATTCATAAGGCCATTAAATAGATTCAACTAGTCAAACACTTGGGCATCTCGCAGCTAAGTGAAGCTTCTGTAAACTAGTGGCACACAATTTCTAATGTCAAGTTAAACAAAGCTAAAGAAAAATTTCAGCCTTCATCTTTGGATTTCATGTTCATGGGAATACTGAAATGCATTCTATGTCTACAACTTCTTGCAAAGTTACATATAAAAAAATATATATATGTGGTAATCACATTCTAAATCTACACAGTTCACGCATTTCTTAATAAGTTCCTGAAAACAGAAAAAGCAACTGGAGCTTGCTGTCTGTTATGAATTTGTACAGATACTGTATGTAGAGGAAATTTATCAAAGCTGTCCAATTGTTGCTGGAAATTAGCTTCTTATTGTAAGTTATAGTTTATTTACTATTAACTTGGTAAACACAGATAGTAAATATTTATAAACATAAAATGCAAGCCATCAACAGCTCACTTTTGCTGAGACAGATTCTCAGTATGTACAAACTTGTCACTGACAAAAAATGTTCCCTGTCCCATAACTATCAATAAGCAATCCTCACTGGTAAACACTCAACCTGATCTTAACTTAGTGTTTTCCTTTTTTATGGATCTATTCCTGCTCCCACTTAAGTCAATGGAAAATTCTCATTCCTCTCAGTGGAACAGGACTAGACAACTACCTGCTTTAAATGTGTTACAGTTTATTCAGATCCTCTCTCAGTATGCAGAACAGTAACATATAAACAATGCATGTCAATTCCCACTTCTTCTGAAAAGTATTTTTATCATAATTCTTGAAATTATTATAGAGAAACACTGAAGACTGGGGTCTTAAGTTCGGCAATCACTGTGTGATAGCTGAAATGTCTTAACATCCTCTTTAAGTTTCTAGTTTAGATAAAAGCATATTGCCCACAAATGTTACTACATAGTATGAACTACATAAAAAGCTATTTTCCAAATACTATTACAGGGGTTACATAGTGTGGCCTATACAACTGTAATAAGCTTTTTGCCTTCCATCCTATCCATCATAATATTGCAGGATAAAAGGCTGTATTTAAAATTAATGTTGTAACAATATGCTCAGCCATACCGCTGCACTTTATAGGACTGATCTCTTGGTATGCTGCCATACAAAATAGGAAAAAAAGTAACGGACAGTGAGTGGTAGCTTCAAACTGGCACATATTTCTGACTGCTATGTTAAAGCAGACAGAAAGATGTTGAGTTCCAATGATAAATCCACAATGGATTTTTCTAGCATTATTGCTATGAATCTAAGAAGTTAACCCAATAGGAGGCCACTGTACAGCTAGGGTAAAGAAAAGCCCCACGCGAAATATAAGCAAAAAGGAAATAAGGAAGCAAACAGATGGAGCACACAACAGGAGAACAGCTAGTGAAGTACAGCAAGCAGAAGTTCCATATTATTAAAAAAACCAAATACTTCAGGAAGAAGCTGGTGAGTAAAATTCAGTCAGGGGCTTTTTTCTTCGACCTTGTACCCAGGAACTGATTTGGGTAATACAGAACGTTTGGAACCATCTTTTCTTGGAGTAGCACTTTTGTCTCTTGTTTTTTGTCTTCCCTGAAAAGAATCCTCCTGGTTGTCTGTGGCGCAATCACCTTCAGATACATTGCCAGACGAATTGTCCTATAATAAAAATACCATAGCTATATTTTTTTTTTTTTTTGGATAGACAGACAAGTCTTTCCTATGCCCCTTAGAGTCAACTAAGGTAAGAGAAGGGTATGTCATTCCTTCTGCAAAAGCATGGGGTTTATCACAATCTAGAACACCTTTGTTCACAACATTTATCATTTGGTTTTTTTCTGGTTTAAGAGACTACATCAGCAGTCATGTTTTTGCAGTTGGTCTTGGTACCACTGTGGGGAGCACAACAGTATAATTCTCTGAAGTGTTTTCATTAGAAATCAGCAAGAAATCAACTAAATGCAATATGCTGTTTACAACGTAAAGGGCCAGCAAAAAGTTAAAAGTGCCCTTGTCATGCATTTAAAGCATACAAGGACTGCCATGAATTAAACATGTGAAGGTTTTTTTCTGCCACCCTCACCTACTGTTTTCACCAGGAGCAATCTAAGTATTTAATTTGGACTGCAGCAGAAGAATGCCATCAATGGCAAAACACACTTCCATATTTAATACAGAACCAAACAACAGAATTTATTTTGCAGTAAAAGCTTCTTTTTTTTTTTTTTTGAGGAATAAGGAGGCAAGAAAGAGGGGAAGAGGTTCAAAGATGGTGAGAGATCAATGTAGGCATAATTAAGAGCAGCAGCACAAGACTTTTGTCAGAAAAGTGTTAAGAAAGGCTTCCAAAAAGCTCCAGAAGGAAGCAGTGTGATTACTCACATTTATTACAATAAAACCCAAGAGGCCAAATAACAATGGTGCCCTACATTAAAACACACTCTGTAAAAACACAATAGTAATCAGCCTGTGCCCTAGGACCTAAAATCAAAACAGACAAAACAGACACAGAGCAAATGGTAGAGTGTAACACAAAAGCAGACTGAACTATGTGGCAACAAGAAATGGTAGGTTTCACCAATATTTCAGGGGAAGGGTTCTTTAGGTCAGACCCACTAAAACACTACAGAAGAGAAAACTGCTACCAACTCCAACAAAGGAGTAGGGGGAGGCGTGAAAAAGAAGAAGTTATAAAGTGTATTGTGGCACTCACCAGGGAGATCTGACAAATGGGAGATACTCCAAATCTGACCATGTCCCACCTCTGTTTTTTTTCTGAACTATATGTCCCCCTCAATGATTAACTATCCAAGAACCCCTGCTCCCACAGCCAAAACCACTTCACAGGAATCTGATTATCAATCTTCCACACTTCTCTACACTATTCAAACTCAGGGACATTTTTCCTTCTGCATTCTGTCACAAAAAAAATTTCTGAGCCTCTGTGAAAAATCAGAAGGATAGCGTGCTTGGTCCAGTTACTTTTCTTTACCATTAATGAGAACGGAATTAAATGAAAAAGGAAACTGGGGAAAAATGGTTAAAGACCAAATGACCAACTGTAAAAAAGCTGGAGTGTGATTAAACTGAAAACTTGAGTTGACATTCAGCATGCTATGTTTCTATGATTTTGTCTCAAAAAAATGCAAGCAGAAACGGTGTGTTAAACACCTCTCTCCCTTTTTGTTAACCTACAAGCTGACCTCTTCCTTTCTTCAATTATAAGTTTCTTACAAAATTCAAAGAAGATAAATGCTTACATGACAAAATTTAGACTTGTACATATCCACCATCAAACATGTTCATCAATCATGCTAGAAATTGCTAAATGCACTGTGAAATTCCACTGCTGTTAAAAGCAGGGTTAAACTTCTGGAAAGAGATTGTCCCCAACATACAAACTGCACCAATACACCAATGGTTCAGGTGTACTCAGCTGGCTCTTGAGCATTTAAAGCACTATCAAGGTATGTATGTGAAAGTTTCCCTTAAGTTTCAGCTAGCAGTTAATTTTGCATTTGCATAAGTGGAGAGAACATAAATATCTTTTAAAAGATGTATTGTAAAGTAAAAAAACCACAATGTTTTTTACCTTCTTTTTAAATTGGAATTCAGTTACTGTTTCTATACTCAGTACTTGCTGCTTCCACATCACAGAAAAAAAAGTTATGAGGTTATTAATGCCTTTGCTTTGGGGACAGATTCTGTGGGACTTCCAACAGCAAAATATACTGTGACCGGAACTATAATATTCATTCTCCTCAGAAATGCCAGCAACTTCCCCTTGGGAAAAAGGCTATAATGAAGAGCTGCATTGGGAAGTTTCTTCAAAATTTTTTTAAACAAAACAAAACAAAACAAACGAAAGAAAATTTTAAAAAACGAAGAAAAGGCCTAAAATATTTGTTCAATTTACTCTGAAAATGGACCAAAACCAAAAAGCAATGGAGAACAATGTTATGAAATAAACAGAAGTACTAAAAAAGGTCTTCCCTTCATTTTGCAAATGTTAAAAGATTCTAAGAAACTAATTAAACTAACAAAAGTCAAGGAAAAGAATTTTTTTGTTCAAGAATACTTTCAATTTGTCTCACCGAATTGCCTTTGGTTTTCCTTTTTTCATCACCTCGCCCTTCCTCTGCATCATCTGAATCTCCATCACTGTCCAGCGTCAGCAGCTCCGGATCCAAAGGAGGTTCATAAAGGGCTGTGTTTAACGGCAAGTAACGAAGTTCATCTGGAGAGTATCTGAAGTTAAATAAATAAAATGCATTCATTCATGTGTACTTTATGCATAAGTATTAAGTTACACAGTATGTAGGGGCTTTAATAACAGTCTCCTTTTTTTCAGGAAGGCACATAAAAACATGCAGTTCTGAAAACAAAGGAAACAACACTAATTTCTCCTCCCAAACACGATGCCACATATACTACTTGTCTTCTTTGTAGAGCAGATATTCATAGAACACAATTTGCAATTTTACCCAATCCATGTTCCTATGCCCAAGGGACCATACACTTTTTTTATCCATGTACTGTGCCCCATAACGTATACAATTCTAACCCAGGGCACACAAACATGTCCAAAGCAAAGTAAACAATAGAGATGTATAGCTGATTATTAAGAACAAAAAAATGCAAGAAAACAAGAAAATGTAGTTTCAGATGAATGTACAGGTGCAATCTCACTGCTTATAGCCAGATACAGCTCAACATACATAATCCATCCTTTTTCTTTTTAACATTAAAGACTAAGAAAAAAGTGGAAGTCCTCTTACTGCTGAGAACAAGCATTGTAAGGAACAGGATACTATTTTGCTGCATATTATGAAAGGTCACGTCCTTCACTGAGATGGAAAAGCAGTTTCACTAGAAGCTTACAATTGCAAAATAAACATAACATGAAGTAATTTTAATTCAATTGATTTAATAAAATTGAAGTCCTTCAGGAACATCCTGTAACATGCAAATTTGGGGTGGGCTGTATTAACACTGGAAGGAGCAAGGCACATGCAGACAAAGAGCTTCTCTACAGAAAACCAAGCATATATAGCATGAATACCATCTCTACTGTGCAATAGGAAGACTTCAGCAAAATCGTCAAATCTGTACAGATCTGTTCAATGGTAGCACACTGCTAGTAAAATCTTAAATTTATGTCAACAACACATAAGTAACACATTTTTCATGAAATGTAAAGTTTGCAATGTCTTTCTCTCTCACTTACAAATCCAACATCAAACTTAAACCATAAGACCAAACTTTTTTAAAAAGAGTTTCTAAAAATTCAAAAGGGAACAGCAAGACTTGTGATCAGAAGCCAGCATAACAACACTTTGATACAAAAAATTAATTTTAGCACATGCAGAGGCAGATGATAAGTAAACAGGAGAGTGGCAGGAGTGAAATCAATGTCCCTTTTTACCATGGGAAATACCTGAGCAGGCTAAATCTCAGGCACTGCAATATATCAGCAGAACAGTGCTCTTGAAGTCAGTACTGTTTTCTTAACAACAGCTGTCACACTATGCATCTTTGAAGACTATCAAGTGTCTAAAACTAAAATTAATTTGAAACCTTAATGCAAAGACAGTGAAATGTTTTCCACCTGTTAGATGGAGACAAAAGAGATCAGTGCTACAGAATTGGCAGCTGGAATGCTTTTAAAATACCTTTTGTAGTACTCCTGGAACTGGCCGGGTATGAGAGCCACTGGATAAGGACTAACCTTTGTTCTCTCTGTAGGCAAGACTTTGTATTTTCCTTGAGGCACCTGGATAATCTGCATTGTTTAATATAAAGCAATGACATTTTTGTTTCACATACAAACAGTTGAGCCTTCCTCACCAAATACTCCTCCAAGTATTATTTTAACTTGCCAGTTTTACTGAATTGAAACAGCTACCTGAGTTCTCCCATGAGAAACTCAATGCATTAAAATTCTAAGAGATCCCAAAACAGTATCATGGATTAAATCCAATCACTAAGTATCTAGTGGATTGAACAAAGATTAGGTAAAACCCCTCTAAACAGTACACTATGAAAAATAAAACTGAAATTAAAATCTAGCAATTGAAACAGTAAACATTAACCTTTGTGACTGGCATCTTTAGCAAGAATTATCAATGTTGTTCCAAATTGTTTTAGAGTAGACAGAACGTGCCATCTAATTCTGAAACCAGACTGTACTATAAAAAATATCTGTTAATATATAAATACATAATACAATGGAAAGGAGAAGCTTACACAATAAGCCTTCCTTCTCTTAGAAGGCTATAGAAGTAATCATCCACTATCTTGTCTCTAACACGGTCAATACCAGAAAAAGGAAAACTTTCCATAATTGTCTGCCATGTAACAATTTGCAGAGAAAATTTTTGCTTTACTGCCTCTATAGAAGCAGAACAGCACTGCTTCGAAATGACAGATTTTTTTTTAATCAAGCACAGAGGCATGTAACATATGCAATACAAAAATAATAAAACAAGTAACAAAAAACAAGGGCATAATATTGACAAGCACACTTTTATGTGTAAAATAGTTTTCTTTTTTACTTCAGGTATTGTCAGGCAAAATTTTGGAAGTATTCAAAAGAAGAATTAGCCATTTATATGAATAAACAATGGTCTTAGTTTTATGCTACTACTATCAGAATAAAGACATGATAACAAAGTAACTCTGAGATTTTCAGAGCTTTCTGAGACAAGTATTTTCAAGTTTAAGAAGTCTGCAGGTTAAATATATTTAGATTATTATTTTTAGCAGCATTGCCCACTAACCACCCCCCCAAAAATAGCTAAAATGGTAACAAAACAAACTTCACTAAAACAAACAAGGAGCTCCTTCCTCACAATTGGTAAGAAATTTAAATCTACCTACATGTGTCTGTAAATCAAAATAGGCTCTTCTTTCCTCCATCCGCTCTCGGTTTAAATTGCTGTTGAATTCTGCAGCTTTCTTGGCAGCTTTTTTAATATATTCTGGAACTTTACTGGCTTCTACTTTCTGTGTGTTCTGCTGCTGCATTTGCTGGAATAAGAACAATTATATATTAATTCACATACACTTCGCTATCAGTTAGAGAAGAACCTTTTCTCACACTCCCACTGCAGATTTGGTTCACTTAAGTGGCAATTACTTACAGAATACTCTTTGTAATGATCTGTTATTCGCTGCCGTTCTTTCTCTTGCAGTATAACAGAATACTCAGCATGTTTGGCAGGGTATTCTTTAATCATGAGATCAATTACTTCATCACTACGCAAAGCTGTTAGACCTAAAATAAATAAAGTAATAATGATGCTATCTGGCAAAAGTAACTGCAGGTTATTTATATCTCACAATGACCAACTCAAAGTTTTTGAGTAGCTGAAGACAACAACCTGCTGTGCACAATGCTTTTCCTTCTCAAGTAGCAGCAAACTTGTGCCATTTAGCTTTCAAGGCTGACTGGGAGTTCGCTTGTACCCAAGGCTCGTATCATTACTTACAGCAACAGACCCCTTCACACTGACTCAATCACCTACTTAAACTCACCGGTGAGGCAGAACCTTTGTTCTAGATGGGATCTTGCATACTGTTAGTTTCAGCTTCCAGTGCTGCTGAAGTTTCACTACCCTGCAGAACCTTTACTGAAATTAGGAGGTTCACATAAAGTCTCTATACAAATCAGGGAAGAATTGTTAGGAGAGCAATTTAGAGCAGCAAACTGCACACAGACTCTTGACTCCCAATTAAAGCATTTCATGCTCATAAGTCAGAATGCCTCAGTTTGTAGCTACAATGCAGATCTCCTCCCCTGAAGGTTCCAACACAACTAATCTCCAGACATGGACAATAGCATGGAAAGATTTATGTCATTACCACTGATTATAACTATAATTTTAAAAACAGGGGTAGTTAGCACACATCTCTATTGGATAGGTGAAGCAGAACATAACATTTTACCTCTATATATAAAAATTAGATACAGTTCTCTTATGCATAGTTAAGTTAAAAAATAGCTCACAGGTGAGAAATAAAGGTGGTATACTAAAGATTGTTAGCATATAAAATAACATTACATTTCCACAGACCCATGATACACAGAAAAAAACCCATGGCACCATAATTTAAACTCTGCATGTCCAAATCACATATATCAGAAGAGTAAGAAAAGAGTAAGAGTAAGAAGAGTAAGAAAAAAGCCCTTTCAATAAAAGCCTCAGAAATTAGATCAATCCATTTCAAATATATTCAATTGCCTTAAAATACACTCTTCTAATTTCTAACATAGAAGCTGAGCCATTTAAGATACACTGATGTCTGCAGGCCTCCAATGCAATCCAGCAAAATAAGACTAACGTATATAAAGACACTCTGTACATATATATGCAATATATACATATATACCACCATGCATTTATGCACATATAATGTATATATATGAGACCACACTATTATGGTCGTCTCTTTTCTAAGAGAAAAAGACTCGAAAAGTTAATTTAGAATATAGAAAAATCCCCTCTAAGTAATTAGAATAGATCCAAAATATATTTGTTAATAATGAATCTGGAATATTGATACAACATGGCCAATTTACCAAAAATAAACCAGTTTTAATTTCAGAATTTATGTTTCCACTTGAGAGGGATGCAATTCTTCTCTACCAAACTGAACCCCTTTTTCAGTGCCTAAATTTACTTTTTATACTGTAATAAGAAGTCTAACAATTTGTTTTCTTACCTAGTGTGCATTGAGTCTCTGTGATAACATTTAGTTCTCTGAGGTAGAGTTTCTCCTTGTGAGATAAATCTCGCCTTTCTAAATCTCAAAAAAATAACCAAAAAAAAAAGAAATAAAAATGGGTGCAGTAACTGAAACTCCCCCATAAACACTGTCAAAGTATTTCAACAGTTTTGTTTCCAGGCAGCTAGAGCCTGTATTACACTGCTATTTCAAGAAACATGACAACTTCATAAATTAATTTTAAATTTAACAAACAATGTAGGGACATGATAAATTTTCTTGACTTATAGTAGGTCAAGACCCTCTCTACAGTTATGATTTACATAAAAACTAAAGAAACCTGATGTATAAGTTCAGATACAGAAAATTTTACCAAGCACTGAAAGTGCAGTATTTTTTCTTTTACCATAACTTTTAAAAATAAATTCCCCAACAAAGAGCCAGATTTGACAATTCTGGATAACAGAGGCTCAAATACTACAATCTCCACAAACATATTTTTAAATATTTTTCCACAGTGTAGGAATGTTGCTACAATTCAGGAAACAGAACAGAGATCCAGTTATAGTAAGAAATCATCAACAAATCACTAAAAATAAAATTGACAGCAGTTTTCAAACAGAACTTGTTGATCTAAGCCTCAAATCAGACTTGTTTGCAAATTTTCAATGGCAATACCACAAAATCTTATATTACTTTGAAAACCAGTGGACACATTATATTTCCAGTAATGAAAATATGAAGTACAAGTATAATTAATCCAGGTCTACTTTTCCTGGGTCTTTTTTTAACCGTTAGCTCACCCTATAACCAAAGAAGCGGAGACTACATCCAAACTGTTTAAGAATTCAAATTTTTAGAAGAAAGACTTTAAAAATAAATACCTGGATATTTTCTTTTAAAGGAAGTCACACCCAAATATTCACTGACTTGTTCCTGAAGCATATAGTATTCTCCTGTTTCATCAGGTGGCCATTTGTATTCTATCAAATTTTCAGCAGGAAAATAACTATACCTAAATATAAGAACAATGTTACAACAAATCACAACAATCCTTAATAATACTACTTACCTCCCTAGAAATTCAGTAATTCCCATTTATATGCCAATGAACGGTAACTACAAAGTTGGACAAGCACTTTAAAACAATGCATCCTGTTAACCCATTTCAAAAGTCACTCTGTTGTACCCAAGCTCAATTATATTTCTCTAAATCTCCATTTATCAACATGCTAAGGGACAGAATCTGAAGAAACTGATATCCATCATAATGGAGAGGACACCAGGAAAAGCAACTACTACAGAGTCAAAATTCATTCAAGTATGCAATGTCTTAAAAACATGTAAACTGTGCTTCTGATTGTAAATCAGATGCAACACTTTTTGTGGCACTCTAAAATAAAATGCCTTAAAATATGCTGGGAGGAATAGATATCTAGCTATTTATAGGACATCACCTCAATTTGTAAAGGTGTATGAAGAATATACAAGTAATGACTAAAGAGCTAATACTTAAGCATGCTGAACAATAAAGTCAGACTTACAATAAAAAGTGGGAATTGTAAAAAACAGTATTACCCAAGGTCTTGACTGGAAGTTTCACAGCTTCGAGAACTGTCCCCTGAGCCCATACGCCGCCTTTTGGATGGCTGGCTTCCATCATTGGAATTTTCTTCTGTGTCATCCTGAAATGAAAATAAATATTAAAAAAATTAGACTACTCCAAAGATAATGTAAAACACCAAAAACATTGCGAGGCAATCCACAATTCAAATATACTTGAACTGGTAAGCCATTCTATGACAGTCTTAACTCACAGGACAGTCTACATAACAAATTATTCTTTGTTATAAACTATCTGCATGACACGTGGTAGCCCAGTAGGAGAATTGGGTGGCTTCTCACCTGTGGCATAGGTAGAGTTCTGAATAGACAGAGCTGTAGCTGTGACCACCAAGTTCATAATTCCTGATGTAAACTACCTCTGGCACTTGACCTGACTAGCACTCCACACCAAAAGGAAGTGCAAAACAAAAGCCCAACTCCTTGCTGAGAGCTGATGCTTACAAAATCAGGGAATATATTACTGAAAGCAACACAGGAGTTTACAGGTATACAGTTAAAATAAAAGGAATGGTATACAGTTTACAAAAAATATCATTGCAAGCAAGTAGCAAAGACTTGAGATGAAAAAATGTACAGAAGAAAAAACGCAACTTGGTATTACAACAGATACAGAAGAGAACAAGGCTCTTACAGGGGAACATTCAGGCAGGTGTCACAATTCAGATCTCATGTGATCAATATAACAAAAGGGAATAAAGAATGAAGAGGAGGAAAAAAAGACCCAAGCAAAACAAAGAGTTCTGTGAAATCTAGAAGACAGTAACTCAGATAATGTGTTTTTTGGTTTTCACTGCTTTGTTGTCCCATAATGCTGTGCAACTCCTACCTGCATCATCAGCAATCTCAAAGCATTTAGTGACCAACCCTGTCTGATCATAACTGAGATAAAGACAGCAAAAATCTTTAGGTGCATTGTCTACTGTGACCAGTAGTTGAGTCAAGAATAAAACAGTTCCTTAAGTAATTGAATTTCTAAAGTGGAGCAGAGTGACAGAATCAATTTCCTAATTTCTGTGAAAACTTTAAGCAAGAGCAATTAACCCGTCAGAAATAAATGGATCAAGCCCAACTATACTTATTTATTTAGAAATGACAACACTGATAATTAGGTCTACCTTTGCTAATGTCTTTCACTCTAGTATGTTTTACTTAACATATGACTTGGAATATCAATTTAAAAATATTCCAGCAAAAAAGAATACATTACTTTTACTAAGCAACATTTCACAATGTTATAATCAAGACAGGCCCTAGACAAAAAGCATTTGTCTCCTGGATTTTTGGCTTATTTCTTATTTTCTGCAACTTTATACAAATTCTTCTTCCTCTTTGAGGAGCAAAAACATCTTTCACACAGTTATAAAAACTGAAAAGCAAATTTTAATGGAACTGTGTTTTCTTAGTGTAGCCATCATTAAAAAAGCAGTATGCAGCATCTCCACTCACATTAGCAGTAATGCCATTTCTTAGTATTGCTGAGAATACCCTGTGTGAACTCAGACGAATGAAGCAGCAGCCCCCAATCAAACCAACATTGCATTAGAATATTTTGTGACACAGCTGTCTCATCAGTAGTTCACTTCTACTTCCCACAAGAATATTAATGCACTCCAAATCTTTTTAACTGCTAGACAAAGACCTGAAAAGGGCCAAAGCAACCCGCTGTATACCAAAACTTCCAAGAGAATTCAAAAGGCCACTAAAAGACATATCTCAACCTGACAGTTTGGTGGAAGTGCCTGATAATCAGTTTCTCATTTCGCTTTGTAATTTTTCATTGATTATACCCGGTACTGTTACAAAGTATGAGTGTCCATAACACAGAGAGGTCAGTTCGCTCCATTTCCATACTTGCTTCCTTATTTGCTTAAAAATTCACGAAATTTAATCACACGAGTTTGTTGCAGACGACTTACTACATAAAGTGAAAACATCTGCAATCTAAAGGCACAATGCTGCTCAATCACCTTTACTGCTGAAAAATAGAAAAAAAGGGATAGCTCTGTGGCTCTCTTTACATGAAAAATCAAACACTGTCCAAAAAAGTCCCTTTCTCCCTGAAAACGCATGTTTCTGTAAAAAGCTTAGTTAGTCCTTACGAAACATGGTGACGTTACAAACTTCTGGTACGTCTGTCACTGCAAGATCGACGTAACGCTGTTTCAATAAGCGATCGAGAAGCCTAAACAGCTCGAGATGTGTTTCAAAGGGCGACTGCGATCTACGCCGGGAGTCTTTGGCGCCACAAGTGCCCGCGGTGCCCGGGATGCGCGGGAGCAGCCGGCAGGGCCAACGCGGAACTGCCCGCGGCCAGACACAAACTTTCCCGGCTGCGGCGCTGCCGCGGCGAGCACTCAGCTGCCGCGCCGCCCCCGGGCACACGCCGAGGGACTTTTGGGAAGGAGGACGGCCCCGGGCACCCGGCCCCAGACCCGCGCTCAAAGTTCGGCCCAGGGCGCGGAAAGCCACCCGCCGCCCGGCTCCCCCAGCGGGCGTGAGGTGAGCCCGGGGCGGGCGGGTCGGGTGAGAGGCGCGGGGGCCGCGCGAGGCCTCCCGCCGAGGCGGCTGTTGCGCCGCAGCTCCGCGGCCGCCGCCACCCGCTCTCACCTTGAGGGACTGCGCGCCGGGCGTGGCCGGGTCGCTGTCGCAGAGGCGCGGGGACAGCACGGCCGCCATGGCCGCCGCCGGCTGGGCCAACAGGAGCGACGCCGCCGCCGCCGCCGCGCGACCGGGCCTCGCGCCGCGCCCGCCGGCCCCGCCCCCCCGCGCCCTGCGGGGAGCGGCAGCGGCCCCTACCGGCCAGCGCGCGCACGGGCGCGGCGGCTCCTGCTCCGCCCCCCTCCGGGCAGCCCGCGGCGACCCCGGCCCGCGCCGCCGGACCGGCACCCGCACCGACCCAGGGCCGCCCCGCGGGACCGGCGCGGGGGATCCGTCGCCGCCGGTGCTGCCGCCGCCGCCGCGCCCTTCTCCTCCTCCTGCCGCGGTCGCTCGGGCAGCCGCGCGGCCCGGCCGCGAGCGCGGAGCCGAGCCGCCGCGGTAGCGCTTGGGCAGCAGCGCGGGACGGAGCGGCAGCATCCCCCCGGCGGGGTGGTCAGCGCCGAGCGCGGGAGCCGGCACCCAGCAGGGCCGGGTGCTCCGCTCTGCCGGCAGGCTCCCGTCTCCGGGAACGTCAGCCGGGGACGAGCTACGTTTGTGAACCATCAGCCCCCGCAGGAGGGGGGTTCGGGGGGCGGGGGGCGCACTCGGAGGAGCCGCTACGAGCGCGCTCGCCCCTGCGACGGAGGGAGGGCGCGTGCGGCCGCTCCCCGCCGCTGCGCGGTCGCGCCGAGCCCGCTGCGCGCCGTGGCCGCGCCGCCTCCCGGTGCCGGTACCGGTCCCGCCGGTACGGGCGGGCGGAGCTGAGGCGCAGCCCTCCCTACTCGCCACGGGAACGACCCTCGTCCCGGGGACCGGGGCGGCGCGCGCGCCCGCCCGCACGCAGCCGGGCCCCGTGGGCGCGCACGGCCCCGCGCCGGCGAACAAAGCGCACGGCCGCGCCCCAGCCACGGCGCCGCCCCCGGCCGGGGCCTCCGCCGGCCTCGCGTGTGCGCCCACCCGCGGCCCGGGCTGCTCAGCGCCCCTCGAGGTTTGCCCGGCCGCGGCTCCAAAGCTGCTCAGACCCAAGCTGGCCATGGGGCGTAGGAAAGCACCCCCGCCCCGTCCGCGTTTGTTGTATTCTACACAATAGAATGGACGTGGCAAAGGCACCAGCGCTAGATTTCCACGCACAGCAGATCCAAAAACTGATGTCTACACACCTCACAGATCTGCGAGTCTCGTTAAAAAAAATACAATCAGTGCTGCCCCTGCCAGTTACAGACCAATTCTCAATAGCCTTGAGATTGATCCCATCGTCCTTCTGCCACTGCCACCAGAAGCCCCCAGACCAAAGTTACCTAACTCGCTCAATTCAGTATTTGTCCACCAACCAGACCCGAGGCACTACTTAACCAAAGGTTACGACCCGGGGAACCTAATAACTGAAATTACACTTCATTCAAGGCAAACGGCTGGAAACGTACACAAGTTTCTAGGACTGCAAAACACAGCTTCCCTTCCAGCCAAGTTTCTAGGCAGACCAGCATTTTATCATAGATACCAACTATGAAAATGAAAAATGAACACTGCTTTTCTTACAAAAAGCATGCTTTTAAGAAAACTGATACCTGCAACTGCATATAAGCATTGGTGAACAGTCCTAGACACTCAAGAGACAAGCAACATTCAGAATTTTGCAATGTTTGGCCTCTCACCAGCTGCTCCCACTTCCACAGCAGAGCATTACAACAGATGAAGCCCATATGTACTCAACCATAAACATTTCCAAAGCAGTTTTGTTTGGTTTTTTTTTAAACAGAGCAAAAACGAGCAAAATTATCTCCAATGTACGTCAGTTTCAGTGTGCCAACACCAATAGGACAAACATGAATACTAAAATAATGATGTTTTGAAAATTTTCAAATATACCATGTATTGTGATTCACAAATGCAGCTGCGACTTTCAGAGTTTTAGTCGTAATAACAAGCCATTACCAAAGCCAGTGCAATAAATGTATCAGTTTCACATTTAGCTGAAACCCAAGTGTCTCTTTGAGCATCCCAGAGGCATCTGCTGGCAACCTAAAGGGATAAAAGAGAAAAAATTACAAGTGAACCTATATACTCAGCATTATCTAAATGCTAATTAATCGTTTTAGGAGAGTTACAACTATTAACAACAATGCAAAAGTTGAATAAAATTAACAATTCCTATTCAATGTTAAATACATGTTCTTGCTTCACAGTAAAGCTCCCACACAGATAGATCCAAAAACTCAGCACCAAACACCCAATTCTCTCTTGTGTTCACTTGTTACAATTTAACATACAGTAAGAGCACCCCTTCAAAAGCAATTGAATGTCAGTGTGAACAGACATCAGTTTTGCGAACATTTACAACCAAGAAATCACATCCCCCACTCTTCCACCTCCAGCTTACTACAGCCTACTTGTAAATGTATTGGGCTCTCAGCCTTTTTGGTAAAATTGTTTTCAAAACTAAACTGTGTGAATTGATGTCTGAAATAAACATATTCCTTGGGAGAAAAAAGTTAACTTGGGCCACTTCACTAATCTGTTTGCACCTACAGCTTCTCAGTCAAAACACCTCTTAAGAGGCGGCATACTGTGGGATGGCACCAGAAAAGCAGGTAGATGCAAAAACCGGATTTGGTACTGAAGCTGCACCCTTCAAATGTTTTATGTAACTCACTGAACACAGTTGGTTTCAATCAGGTTTTAAGAATTGATGATGAACACTGCAAAGCAGAAGTGTTCTTTGGCACTCTACTAGACAGATAAAAGCATTCTGAATGCCAATGGGAGCTCCAAGGTAGTTGGAATACTAAACTTATATACCAACACAGCACAATCTAGAATCCTTTTATTTTAGGTGTTCGAAGTTCAGATGACTGATGTTAATTTGAAGTCCCAGGAGCATGTCTGGTGGCAGCTGCAGTGACCATCCACCCTGCAGTTCCCTGCCACCCTTCTCTTCCATGACACCTCACACTACAACTGCATAGCATCTCACATGGAATGCAAGAACCCAAATGGAGATCCAAGTACACCGGACAAAGAAAAACAAAATTCGCTGAACTCATGGAATTGTACTGGCACAGCAGGCAGCAGAAACAAGTGGGTGACAGGTATATGCAGTTGGGGGTGTTTACCACTTACTGAACACATGAAGATAGCAACCCTCAGAGAGTTAGGCAGAATCACAGCAGCACCTTGAATTGTCACCTAGGATACTACTAGCCATAAAGAATGTAAAAGTTTCAGGACCACCTCAAACAAGTTAAGCTGCTGAAAGTGAAAGAACATCTAGGAGATAACACACAGTTTTAAAAGTTGTTTTTAATTTTCAAAAGGTGTAACAAATAATATGTTTGCTTACAATCATTGCCTGATTTGCCTTTTCCACAATTAGCACTGATACCACATACTTATAACGGTCATAGTCCAATTCCTTCACAGCATTTAATATTTCTTCTGAGATTGAAGCACACAGGAAGGGACTAGAAGCTCCATCGTATGTGGCTTCTTGTAGTTTATTCTATCAAAAACAATTTTGAAAGATCTTAGTTTTCATCTTAGTAGTCTTTTGCAAAAAACACCCTTTACAGTCATTTTCATTACAAGAACATGAGAAGAACTAGTGAGTTGAATAGTCAGTACAGATGATGGTCTCAAACAGCAAAGGATGCACTACTTTTACTCTGAAATGTTTTATCTGTTTTTAAAGGTGACACACATGCCCAGCCAATCTCCATTTAACAATCAGGAGAGTACTCTTCATTATTTGGCTTCAGTTCACTGGAAAACAGTGCTACAAGTATCTGTTCCAAATACCCAAGATATGTCTTCCAGACAGCAGAATTAAAAAGATCTGGTTATAACTGTTCAAAATACCACTAACACCTGTGGATTATCTCAACAAATTGTTTTCTTTTATATTTGCTCAATTTGTGTATGTACCAATCTGACTGTCAAGGATACCAAGTAATTTTATGCAGGTCCTGTGAGATTAGCAGAACTAATAGAAATCCACAAATTTGATGTCATGATCCTTTGCTAACTGGACATTTTGTGAATTATGGTACTTTGAACTGTGCTGTAGCTCAATTTGATTTTAAAAAATGCAAGAATTTATGAAGCTTCAGCTCCACCTAAACAGCACACGCTCAGCAGTGACCTCACAGAGGCCCTTCTGCACTTTGCAAAACGGAATACATTCACATTATATCCATGTGCCAAAACTCAAAAGACTGCAGAGATTTATGTGTGTTTAAGTTTATGCAATATTCACTGTTCTGCAAATATTTCTGCAAGACAAGCTGCTATTGCAATGAGACAAGTAATTTAAATAATACTATACCATTAGTATCGCTTGAGCTTTGTCTTGTAATAAGCCATCCTGAACTTTAGTGCGTGGCTCCAGTCTGTACGTGTTACGGCTTTTTGACTTTGCCTTTCCTTCTGTTGGAGCTGTGCCTGAAGCATCCTGTGTTTTTTTTCCTTTTGACTGTACAAAATAATAAGAAAAAATCCACATCACATGCCATTACTTTAGAGTTTAAAGATTCTAAATAATACTTAATGGTGTACAGATAAGAGGAAAAAAAATCCCCAACAATTAATCTAGGAATATGTTAACAAAAACCACAGAAAGCTAGAAGCTGGTTATCATCTTCTGGCTGTTTTAACTACTGTTTTGCCTGAAACAGGAGAAGTGGTTGACTTTGACTCAATTTTAAATTCTTTTAACTGAACTATGCATTTAAACTCATCAATCAGATACATCATATTACCACCCTGAATCCACTCCCTTTTCCAAGGAAAAATACACAGATATAAATGTACCCAGATATAAATGTACCCATCCAAGACTGTTAGCCACAAGTTCAAGTTTCTCATTCAAATAGCCTACACAATACCCAAAATACAGACTTGGTTCATTTACTACTTCATTTTGCTTGTCCTTATTCCTTGTTACTAAAATAGTAGCTTATGTAATGATGATTTAACTTGCTCATTAAAAAAAAAAAAAAAAAAAAGGAAAAAGTAAGCTCCAGTGTGCAAAGCTTTGTAATTTTGCTTGGAACTGAAAACAAGATCTCTGAAGATCACGTTTTCTCCCCATCCAGCTATGTACTCTGTATCTTCAAGACACATAACAAAACTTGTCCCTCTATGAATGCAAGAAGTAAGTCTGATGTTGCAAAAAATGTTACCTGCTGCCACCACGGTGGCTTAAAATAGAACTGTAAAATAGTAACAAAGACAGAGACAGAAAAGCACAAGGAACGATGAGATCACAACAAATGCCACAGGCAATGGTCTTCCATACCAGCTACTTCCTAACAAACCACTTCCAAGTTTCACTGACTCTTCAGTCTCAGCTCCACTTCCTGACTACTGCTAGAACCTAACATTGAGAGAAAATCATCAATTCCTTACCAGGAGAGCAGAAAAGAACTCAAAGGTGAAATAACATCACAATGCAAGGTTTATGCTAAGAAGTACTGAAAAAAAGTCATTTAAGGATAATATAAAAGTCTAATGAGAATTATTTAGAAGATGCGCTACTCAAGGGCTCACAACTCTTTCCATCTGAGGAGTTTTAAGAATCAGGGAAGAAATGCAGTTTCTTCTCTATGAAATTGCTTGCACATTCATTCTGTCAACAACTGCGGACATTACCTAAAAGTGTCCTCTACTTCCTTAAAAGCAGTGATGTTGGCAGCCTTAGTGCAAATTGCCCGCTGGTGTTTGTTGAACTCTGAATGGCATTTACTCTAAAAACACAAGGACCAAACACATTTGCACTTAGCCTGTGGACACTCATTATCTAGTAACTGCAAACTCAGATCTCAAAAGACTAAAAAAAAAAAAAAAGAAGACTAAAGCCCTGACATGCTCATCACACATCACCTAACAGAAGAAAAACCACCCCAAGTCTTGTAGCTGAGGTCTTCAAATGAGTGTCGCTATCCATGTGAGTAACAATGAACTTGTGAAAAAGGGTGCAGTCCAAACAGTGATTCTTTGCTGACATGGTTCAGCGTGAGGCATATTACCTTCAACCTCTATCACCAATGATGGAGGAAAATTAATGTCTATAGCACACAACTTCTAACAATGGTGATATTTAAAAGTTTACCTGCTATTATTAGTGACAAGAGTTTTTATAATCACTTGCAAAAAGTCATTGCATTTACTAGTGAGGCAACCAAAAATCTTGATTTCTCTATAGACATGGCTAGTAAATAAACCTTCTTCTGTATATCATTGTATAAAATACACAGTAAACCCCAAAGTTTTAGCACAATGTGGCAATTATGTTTCTGTAAAATATTTGCACCCTCTGAATAAAACACTCAGAAGTTCAAGAACTGACTGCATTTGAGCACTTGACCAAAAAATGCCTGTTCTTAGGCTACTGAACTCGAGTACATTGGCTTAACTTTGGACATACAGAAGGAAGATTGCTAATAGAAAAAAAAAGCTTTTGCTATTTACATGAAATTCTGCTTGTTAGTAAGTCCATTTTAACAATCAATAGGTTTTAGTTGTTAAAACAAACAGGAAAGAGTTCTTGTTTATTCCTTCAGAACAGGGTACGGCTTCTAGTTTAGAGCAGCGCCTGAGGCAGCACGACAGCCGCAGGGCATGAGCCAACATCACACCTGACCAAGCAGAAAGAGCAGAGCTATCCCAAACCGGGCACGAACCGAGAGGGAACAGCATTCCTCATACCAATTTTCACAAGATCCCATCTTCTCCCCGCCCCATCGTTCCCTCCCAACTGAAGCGCCGCAGGCCAGGACCGGCACCCCCGCCTCAGTCGGGCATCACACCCCCCCCCGCGCCGGGGCCGCTGCCCGCTGCCCCCGCTCCCGGCGGGGCCCCAGCCCGGCCAGCTCAGCCCCCCGGAGCCGCCCCTCGCCCTGGGGGCGCTCACCGTGTCTTTATCCTGGCGCTTTTTCACTCCCTCCATGGCTGCGGCGGCGGCGGTCCCGCTGGGCGGCGTGCGGCGGCCCGGGCCCTGCCCGCGAGCCGGCCGTGACGCGACGCGCGCGGGCAGCGGTAACGGAGCCGGCGGCGGCCATGGCGGAGCGGGGGCGCCGGGCCGGGCCCCGGGGAAGGGCGGGGAGGGGAGGGGACAGCCCTGCCCTGCCCCGCTTCTGCCAGTGCCAGCCCGCTCTCCCTGCAAAGGTCACCGCCCCGTGCCTGGCCCGTGTTACAGAAGTGATGGCAGTAAAGGGTAACAGCGGTCGTGCAGGTTTTGCTCTGGCCTTCTGTCTCTGACAGAGAAACGGCGAACGGGAAGCGGAAGAGACACAAATTAAGATGGATTGAATGATATGTCTTCGGAACATTGTAGATTTTTAAATTTCTTTTTCTTTAAATAGCAGGTAGGTACTCCAGATGACAGCTAATAGCGGTTTCCAATGGGAACTGTTACCCTTGCTTAGTGCTGACAGCTATGTAAATATTTCTTCTCTCCTTGAAGCCATGGATTCAGAAATTACATATGTGAGGGTAAATTCTGCCACCTAATTAGAGAGGAAAAATGTTTATAATTTAACTTTAATAGCATATTTTTCATTATTATTAGTTGTGGTACTTCATTATCAAACAATTTCTTGTCTATCTAATGAATGAAGTGTGACTCTTTTAACTAAATCAGAAGCATTTTCATCCTTGTTAATATGGCACAGTTTTATCTGTGCAATTTTTAAAATTTAAATGTGTGCTTCTGAATCAGTCCATTTTTCTGTTTAGACTAATGTGAAAATAGCATGAATGCTTAAATTACACTAACATTGCTACAGAATTCACGTGTTCTTCCCCTGCCTCCCTCCAAGGATCTTGCTGGTTTTAAGGACTGATGCTCTTGGTTTACTTGAAGTAGCATCAGTTTCTCTGCAAGCTCAGATTAGGCAGAAAATTTATGTATAAACCAGGATATTTTGCTTCAGTCTGTCTTGTCACAGTTTCACTAGATATAACCATTCTGAAATTCACCCTCCTGACCTTGTGAAAACAGAGCAATGCTTTCCCCCAGTTTTATGAAGGTAGTTCTGGTTGAGAGTTCCTTTCATCAAGTATGTGAATGAAACTTGCATTGCAAACCCAAACAGCTTGTTTACAGACAGTGTATTACTGTCTGTGTAGCTGTGCTGATGGGTATGTTCTAGTAGTTTTTTTGTTCTCGTGTGCTTTCTGGCTTTCTTGTTACAAGGATTCTCTTTGTGTGTGTGTGTGTGTTTTTTCTAGATGGCATTGCCAGACTCGGTCACTACTTGCCTTTCTCAACCTGTGCACTATGTGATTTGCAAACTTGGATTTGAGAAGAAAGACACCTATGATATTGATAATATTTTATCTGGAAACGGGGAAGTTTGTTGGCCAGCTGTTACAGAGCATGTGTGTTACCTTGAATCAGGTTGGTGTTTACCTGCTGTAGTAGTGATGCATGTAAGACTGATGCAGAATTGCAGTACAGCTCATAGCAATTCTAGCTGAGTTCTGACAGTTTGTTACAGTACAGCATTAGCTCTGTGGTATGTAGAGTTCATATCTACAAAGAGCTTTAAATTTTTCATCTGCATTTGGTATTTGGCTTTTGCTGGCTCCTAAGGTTCTTGTCATCTGTGCTACCTAAGTAGCTCCTACTTTGCCTTCATCTTGGTTCCCAGCTTTATGTGCCTGTAACATAAGGGGTTCAGTTCTGCTTCTCTCCAACCCCATAATTGTTTTGTTCTGTGTTCTTTATATTCCTTTTGTGCTAAATTTAAAAGCCTGGGCCCATCAATATTGCTACTGTTGCTTCTGTTTGTGTTTCCCAGCTTTCGGTTGTACAGAAGTACAGTCCTGTTTCACTTCTATGTGGAATAGTTTGTAGTTGTTTTTTAACCAAAACAAAGTGTTTATGTCCTGATGAATTAATAGAATTTTAATTTGCCAAATTCCATCATGCAAGCTCTGTTATTGATTTCCAGAGGTGGTAGAAATAGCTTTCAGTAAACCATAAGAATTTGTTTTCCTATAAAAAGTGTCCCATCAAAAAGAGGCAGTGATACCACTCTGTAAGGTACCACATCCATCTACCTTCTTTAAAGGCCATAAGTGGTGCATTTTGTCTCTCACTGAGCCTGCACTAGCTTCCAGCTTGATGTATGGAATTTCTATAGAAATTCTAGTAGTTTTTTCACATTTCAACAAAAGCAGAACACAATGATCCTATTTACTTTCATATTTTCTTGTGTTAAGTTTTTGTTGGGGTAGAATTTTTGGGTTGTTTTTTTGTTCTATTCAGAGAAGGTGCTTGGTATTACCTGGATTTGCATTGCAGTTTTACTTTTTAATACCTTTTCTGAGTGGTGTTTTGGACAGTAAATTGTATTGTATTGGTTGTGCTAAAATAGTTGGGATAAAATTGTCTGTGCTAAATATGTACACAAACTGTAGCAGGTTTTATCCCTAGTGAGTTTTAAAATATTAGGCCTTCAGGAAGGTTGGTACCCTAATCACCTTCTGTTTTTCAATTTAAGATCAAAGTGTGGATTATATCAAAAGCATACGATCTTTAGGACCTGTCTGTGAATCTGTTAATTTGTACTTCAAATCTCTGACCAAGGAGCAGTTTGTAATTCAGTATGCATCATGGTTCCACTGGACAAACTGCACAGAGGTATGGAAATTTCTCTTAAGTTTGTATTTTGGCACCTGAACTCTTTGTGGAAGTTTAATGTGAGAAGACAGAAGAGACATCCATGAACAAAAGTGCTTAGAATTTGTAACTAATTGTCCTTCTCTGATAGATGGTTGCTTATAATTTTTCTGACTTTGTAATTAGATTTTGTGTTAGACAACATGAGGAGCTTTGGGCCTGTTCTAACATTAGTTTGTAGGATTTTGTTTTTTAATAATATGTGCCTAATGCCAAGTTTTACCTTGTAAAGTAATTATGGATATTTATAAATATGTAAGTCACTAGATATCAAGAGGTATTCTAGGGAAGTTTCTGTCCAGGTATCTACACTTCCGTTTCTTTGGCGTGGTTTTCTTTCCACATTTGCACAGCAACTATCACAGAGGAATATTTACGTTTCTCTGTGCTATTGGCTATGTGATCTTTCCTTTTAAATATTGAGCACAGCATTCTTCCTCTCCCCCATCATGCAGGTATTTCTGGAAGTGTTTGATGTTTTACAATCTACACAAGCTACAGAAGTTGCTCTAGGCTTAATGAAACTAACATCATGCTTGGAGCGAGCCTTGGGTGACGTAAGTGCCCGCATGAGAAGTCTATCTTGGCTTTATAAGATGGGAATGAGCTCTTGGATCATTGAAAAAAGTGATATTACCCTGTTCTGCAGTAGTACACTAATAGCCCACATGCATTTTGAGTTGGACAGAGGTTCTTTCCTGGATCCAGTTGTGCTGATGGAAATGTGCTTGTAGAGTTGCTTGTGTGAGTGCTGTTACTAACTAATTTAATTAGGAAAGAAACGTGTTTGATTGATCACTGTACAGAGTAGGTCTTAATTAGTTTGATTTATTTAACTGAAGTAGGGTAGCATAGCTTCCACAGAAGATTTGATGGTGTATTAACTTCTGGGAGGGATGGCATACAGTTGGAAAAACAGGCTACTGGGTAACTTCTTTCCTAGGGAGAAGAGAGAAACAGCTACTTAAACAGTTTTTGCTGCTGGGCTGTTTTACAGCCACGTAAGTTAAAATGGCTGGCTGTTCAATATCTATGAGGAGCTCTGGAGAAGGAAATGATAGAGAAAGAGCAGTGGGCTAACTTACAAACCAATTTGCCCAATTGTGGGGCGTGGTAAATTTTTCAGTAAAAAAAATCACCAAAGATTGGAAAAAAAAGTCAGGGAGAGTACAAAGAATGGAAGCTGTGATAGCAGTTGAAAATTGAAATGCTATTATTGTCCAACAAGGATAAAATTTAGTTTAAAGAACAGTCTGAATCAGAATATGAACCACATGTCTCCTCCCTTTCACATTGACAGACCTTGTAAATTTCTATTGTAAAAATACACTGTCCTTGGTAGAGTTTATTCCCTTAATTAGGTGTTCTTGTTGTGCCTTACTGGTTTTTGTGGGATTTTTTGGAAGAGAAAAGCAGTATATGTACAGACCTTGTGAAAAGCCTAACTATGGTCACATTAAATAAAATATCACTATTTCCTGATATGTTGTCTAAATTTTAATTTGTAATGACATTACAGAATTTAATGCCTTTTTGAGGATTTGGTGGGTTTTGTTTGGTTAGTGTTTTTACAATAATGAAAATGGTTATTGGGTAAAATAGTCAAGGTATATGTTTGAAATACAAAGAAGTAAAATAAATTATTCATTATCTGTTCTGCTCTTTTTTTTTAATAGGTGTATTTACTTAAGGGTAATGATTGTCCTTTCCTTCTAAGAGACTTGCTTGCATCTGAGCAGCTTGCAGATGTCTTTGGACAAGCTGTAGTAAGTACATAGTTTTGAAATAAGGAATAACTACTGAGCTGGTTTTCTTCCTACCAAATGTACCTTGTGTTAATTTGCATTAAATTACATTGGATTTATAGTACAAGAAGTAAGAGCTGAACTTGATCTCATTTGTTTGCCTGTCATAACTGTTTGGGATATCTAATAGCTAGTTTGATTCTTTCCATATTTTATACTATATCCTGTACAAGTAATAACCTGAGAGATTCTCCTTCAGAGAATACTGGGAATTGCAAGTAAAGAGTTTCTGCTACTGTGACAAGTGATGGCCAGTCATCTTGACAGTAGACATTGTAGTCTCTTAATAACTTCTGAACTTTACTGCCAGGGAAAGGTAATAAAAGTAAGAAGGGTAAGAAAGGCAAAAAATAATAGATTTTTTCATGCAGTAATTGCTTTATTTATTAATTAGATGAATGTACTGAGGGTATTCATTGGATCTCCACATGGTCTGAACCTTCGTAATGTTTTGTGGCATGGATTTGCATCACCACAAGAAATTCCTGCCAAGT